CATTTTCTCTTTCTTAATCATTGTCTGGGATCTTACTTTCTTAGGAAACATAAATTTTAGCCTATGTTTAGTTCAAGTTTATAAACTATTTATATACACTCGTATTACTGTTTATTTATACATTTCAAGGGACTCACAAGTACTACCTACATATTCATAACTCATTTATATCTATTCATAATTTAAACCATTTATAAACACTTATCATCTACAACTATTTCTTCTTTTGATAAGTATATTAGTATTGCTTCAATGTAGATATGGCATCGTCACTCCCTTTGACAACATCCACTAATTTAATAAGAAATAAAGTGCGTCTATATATCATTACAGGGAAAAACCGTTGGAGGGCGAGAAATTGTGGTAAAGGTACTCTCATGATCGAGTTCAAAATTGAACTAATACTTATTTCTAAAATCCAACACGTGAATCTTGTCAAAATATTGGGTTTCTGCATCCATGGAGATGAAATGATGATTATTTATGACTACATGCCTAACAAAAGTTTGGACTTCTTTCTCTTTTGTGAGTATCGTCTATTTCCTACACTATATTACACATTTTCAAGTTACAGTGAGGTTTTTCGAAAATAAGTTATGATTGATACAAAAATAAACAATGAAGAGAATTTTCAATTGAAGAATAATGAGTTAATTTTGTTTACGAATGCATATTTTAAAATCGATTTTGTACTTATAATTTTATCTTGATTATGCCTAGTTTCTTGATGCTATCTTAAGATCCAAAAGTGAATTTGATTCTTTCTAGTTTCTCTCTCTTTTTTTTAAATATATTTTTGGTATATTGCACAAATAGGTACCAGATATTTGGACACTAAACCTTAAAATTATCTCACGCCAAAATTTTACTATCCATACACTTCTTCTCTCTTTTACAGTAAAATATAATGGATAATCAATATTAATTAAAATCTAAATCGTTCATAAGAACTCAAATTTCTCATTGTTTTCAAAGTGGCCGATCATCGAAATCAAGATCTTCTCTTTAAAGATAATCCGATTACAAATACTATATACATATTTTAATATATATTATTGTGTGAATTTTCTTAGCAATTAATTTTTTTAATCTAAATTTTTAATTTAGGCCCCGTTCGGGAGGGATTAAAAGCCAATTAAAATTGAAAATATGGCCGTTATTGGGTCCCACTTGTCTAATAAAAGTCAACAATAACGACTATATTTTCAATTTTAATCCAATTT